CAATCTTATCGCCGAATCATTACAGTTACCAGTAAGTTAAGTGTGTCAGCGCGTACAATCAATTATAATTTTTCTACGTATCTTCTTCTATGGATATTGTCGCTGTGGTTAAAATTGATCAAAAGGACATCACCATTCATAATTTTAGTTGTTTAATTCACTAACCTCCAATTTAATAAGTGTACAAAAAAAATGGATATATTCACCTAAATCCTGAATAAATAAATAATTCCATTCCGGTGCGAGCCACAAAAAAGTATTGTTCGAAATTCGCGGTAGAAGTGTGGCTGGTGTGACAGCAAGAAAACAGGAAACTATATATTTTCAATATAGATTATAAAATAAAGCATCAACTGGTGTACCAGGCACCATGAGTCTAGCTAACAGTGATGAAAAGCTTTTATTAAAGTAATTGCAAAAGAAGAACTCAAACGGAATTGGGTACACGATATAAATACAAAAGTTTACTGCTTAAAGATAACGAGTTCATTCCTACTTAGACCTTTTACGAAGACGGTTTTTTTGATTTATTTCGATATGTAGAAGCAGCTTTGATAAAATTCATGATAATTTCATATCAACAATATTAAAGTCAATTTTTATTGCAGCCAAAATTAGTTCGATAGTTTTAATATGTTTGGCTTTAATAAGTTGGAGGCAGCTCATTAAAGTATATGAGTCTAAATCGGAGTGAGTATATTTAGAAGTTTTCATTAAAGGCATCCATTTATTGCAGGCTGTAAAATTCTACAGCTGAACTTAAGCCCCTCCTGTAGATTACCTCAGAAGGTGGATTATACACAGTTAAATACTTGTGATCTAAATAAATAAATAAATAAAATAAATAAATCATTTATTCTGGACCAAACCTTTAGTACATTTTTCAGACCCACCAAACTGCGTAACAGTTTGTCGGCGGGATTAGCGCTTGTCTTAATACATTTGGTTCAAATACGTAAGTATACAATTTAATGAAAATAAAACCGTAAATAATCGCAAGTATTGTAGCAATGTTAGGCGCCGCCAGCACACCCCAGTTAGCGGACCGCGCTGACACAATTATTAATTAGCCGTCGCACCTCAGGTGCGCACTCTTTCTGACTTACAGGCACTAGTTAAGAGATTATGGGTACATCATAACATTGTTTAAATCATTAAAATAAGGTCTAATATACGTAATTGTCAATAGTTATATTAAAACAACAACAAATTAGTTAGTATTTTCACATCTTACGACAACTTTATTAAGGAAAACAGTTTTTAATTTATTTTTTAGTGTTCGTTTACTTATTCTAGTATTATCTTCTCTCAGCCAATCGATATTATTGAAAAGTATAGGGGTATATCTGCTCTTTTATATCAAAAAATAACTTTTCATTGTATTATTCAACAAAAATTGTAAAAGAACTGTGATATGAATCTTCTATTGCATAAAACTGATTTCAGCTATTAGATTAGAGTTTTAAATTTTTTCATACAAACTAAGAAAACCCACTCAAACACAAAGTTCTTGAATGCTTTCCGGACCGCGTTGTGCCGCTCACACTCTCAGTGGCTAGTTGCAAAGAGGAAAAAAAACACAATCTATATCCAATAGAAATGTACATATTAAATGACGTTTGGAGTTGAATTAATAATGTAAAGAACTTATTTCCTGACGGGGTACCTCGGCGGCACAATTATTTTTTTTTATATATAGCCTTTCCTGGTTTCATCAAAATCCGTTAAACAGTTTTGGCGTAATTGAGCAACAAACACACAAACATCCAAACAAACTTTCACGTTTTATCTAATATTAGTAGAACAAATAATATCCATTAGAAAAACTCCGAGCTTATGGGGTAAACTTTCCACGTTCCGGCAATTCATTAGAAAAGCTAATTTACCATTAAACATAATTTATTCAGCTTGACTATCAAAAGGCGCAATAAAACTTCTCGAACAATCAGTAAAGGAAATATAATATTAAGTACTATTTATTATTGAGAAAATGCGATGGAATCAAAGACGAAGCCTCTATAATCAATAAAGATTAAAAAAAAAGACGAAGACCGGAGTAATAGAATTTCTTCCTTGTATTCAATGTTCAAAATACCATTTGATTTCCTGATCTTAGAAAAAAATACTATAACTGCCACCGCAATGAAGCCATCTCGAAATAATTTCTGTTTGTCCCGTTACCACGGGTGTGTTGGCAGTAATAATTCTAATGCTCCTTAATTCAAAAAAAAATAGTGTTATAAAACTGGAATAATAATACGTTTTCTATATGAGAGAGGGCAAACGAGTATACAGCTCACCTGATGGTAAGTTACTACCGCCGCCCATAAAGAACTGCAACACTAGGGTAATTTCAGAAGCAGTGTCAGGCTTTAAAAAAGGTAGGAAATTTTCTTAAAGGTCCTTAATTCGTATCGGTCTGAAAAATTGCTGGTGGTATTCTATTCCACAAGGAAATTGTGATAGGAGAAAAACCTTTTGTAAATCGTACAACAGTGGACCGTCAATCATCTAGATGGTCTTGAGTACTATCGCGATGTTCGATGGTGAAATTGAGCGGCTGGAATTAGTCCGAACAATTCTTCTGAGCACTCCCCATGGTACATACAACAGAATATGCAAAAAGATGCGCCAGTAAGTCAAGCAGCAGCAAAATAGCAGCTTAACGCTGCTGTGTTTCGTATGGTGAGTGTAGAGAACCGGAGACCCTTTTTTGTTGTTTTTTGTTCTTTTTTTAATTATTTTTTACTGGAAACAAGGCATTCCATCTTAGTCATCACGGGTGACAACGCATCTGCATTTTGATTCGTAATCAAATATAGATGTAGATGTCAATGGGCCACAGAAACCACTTAAAATCAGGTGGACTGTGTGCTCGTTTGTCACCCTTATCCTACAAATAAAAGATGAACAAGAACAAGACGAATAAACGATTAAACAAAATATTTAATTTAGGCCGTTAAGCTGCGTTCGGGTAATCAAAACACATTTTATTTCAGTGCAGCTGAAAATCTATGAACAACTAAGGTATGTTGACAGTTCGGACAGCGAATTATGGAAAGTTTATGTTCGGAGCTTTTTTACCTTTGGTGAAAATCCAGCAAGTAATCGTGAGGGATTTATGTGCATCAAAATAAAAACAAGAAAAAGAGTGTGCAGTGACAAATTGATTTAAAATACAGAGTGTCGATCGCAGGTGGCTCACGACGTGCCGGAAGCGGACCACCAGGACGACGACGACGACATCCCGGAAGGGACCGGGGTAGACCTGAGAGTGGCGGTACGTAGGCTCAAGGCCAGGAATACCGCCCCAGGACCCGATGGCTTGCCTGGCAAAGCCTGGGTCCTGGCCTCGGAGGCTCTCGGGCCCCGACTGGAGGGGCTCCTAAGCGCATGCTTGGAGAGAGGCCAATTCCCGCTTCGTTGGAAGACGGGGAAGCTGGTCCTCATTCGGAAGCCGGGGCGCCCTGCGGACTCTCCGTCCGCATACCGGCCCGTGGTGCTGCTCGACGAGGTGGGCAAGCTCTTTGAAAGAGTAATTGCAAACCGCCTCGCCGAGCACCTTGCGGGGACGGGGCCGGATCTTGCGGAACACCAGTTTGGTTTCCGCAAGAGGCGCTCTACGGTGGACGCCATCATGCGCGTGAGAGCCCTCACGACGGGGGATGCAGTGGCCAGGGGGGGGTTGTCTTGGCGGTGTCTCTCGACATCGCCAACGCCTTCAACTCCATGCCCTGGAGCTGCATTAGGGAGGCACTCCGGTATCACCGGGTGCCGACCTATCTCCGTCGTATAGTCGGGGACTATCTGACGGACAGGGCCGTCATCTACCCCGGTCGAAACGGAGAGTGGAACCGGCGAGAGATGTCGTGCGGTGTCCCACAGGGTTCGGTTCTGGGGCCGCCCCTGTGGAACATCGGTTACGACTGGGTGCTGCGCGCCGACCTCCCTACCGGCGTCAGCGTAGTTTGCTACACAAAGAACCTTTGCGGATGCAAAGACTCCACGAATTATTTCTTTAAATGTGCTATGATGAGGTAATCTGCCGAAAATGTTTACACTGCTGAGAATGCGATGACCATCAGCTTCCATCATCATACCAGAAATGCATTGTGTGTACACAGTTATTCTTAACTTTCATCATCATCATTATTACAGCCCTTCACAAGCCCACTGCTGAACATAGGCCTTTCTTAGCTTTAAAAAGATAAAAATAAAAAAAGAAACGCAACTACAGCATATTATAATTTCCCATTTATTAGAAAATTTATGAGATATATTTTTAATAAAAAATTAAATTCTAAGGCAAACTGCTTTGAAAAATTTCCCTCAAAGAAATTTCTTTTTGGAAAGTTGTGAGATTTTACTTCTTTCTGCATAACTCTTTGTGCTTTTAAAGTTTAAAATTGCTTTTTACCAACATTTATTTGCATTTTTCATTTAAATTTATGAAATTATTAAGAGTAGAAAATAAAATCGTCTCATAATTTGGATTAAAAGAATAAATTGACGCACTATCGCCGTTTCTTCTCCGAACAGAGGAGCCTCATTTTGAAACGGTAGTAGATGAAAATGTCTCAATATAGTCTATAAAAGTCCACTGCTGATTATAGACCTCCCCCATTTACTGTCTCATGGGGGAGGGGGGAGGACTTTTCCATAATTACCACGCTAAGAAGGCAAGTTGGCAACCAAATTTGTGTTAATTCTATTTCTAATAACAACAAAATTACACCTAAAAGGGTAATTTTTTTGTTATTAGAAAGATTGCTGCTGCCCATTTCCTATTTCAGTTTCTCTCTGTCGCCGCTTACGTCATCCATGGTCAGACATGGGGTGACATCGTCCTGATACTGGCTCAATAATAAAAGAACTGCGACTACCAACCCGCCCGCTAAGCGTGTTGCTATGCCAAAATCTATGTTCTACAACGGACTACTGATAGGCTTAGGACTTGTGTAGTAAGTGTTGATGTTCATTTGTTAGCACTTGCAGAATTCTCACTTCCAGTTCATCATGAGTGGGAGGTTTTGAACGATAGACTTTATCCTTTGCCCAACACCACAGAAAAAAGTCGCAAGGCGTGAGGTCCGGACCTGGGAAGCGGTTATCCAGTCACTGTCAGACATTTGATGCAAAGTGTGGTGGAGCTCCATTTTCCAAAATACCATATTTTCAATGTTATCAAACGTTAACAAAGCTGACTGAACTCTGTTTTCGAGTATGTTGAGGTAGCGCTCTCCATTCATTATTTCCCTCAAAAGAAAAGGGCCAATAACTTGACTTGATGTCATACCACACCAAATTGTGACCTTGGGACGGTTTTTCATTTTCTCAGCAGTTGCTTTGAGGTCCAACTCTGCCCAATAATGACAGTTATGACGGTTAACAAAGCCCCTAACATGAAAAATTGCTTCGTCAGTCCACACAATGTTATCAAACAGTTCTGACCGATCTCCACGCCATCCAAGCATAATCTCTCCGCATTCCACCCAGAGATCACATTCCTCTGGAGTTATTTCTTGGCAGTAATGTGGCTTCCAAGGACGAGAGCTGACAGTTTTAAGGGCTGTCATTACAGTGTGCCGTGTGAGTCCGCTCACACGAGCTGCTTGACGAATCGACTTGTCAGGGCTTCTTGTGAACATCTCTCGAACAATTTGAATATTTTCTCCTGATCTTGATGTTGAAGGAAGGCCGTTTCTTTAACTATCTGCCACTGATCTAGTTGTCATCAACTTTGAATGACAGTTTTAATGGTTTTTGGATACAAAGCAGCATGAGGTCCGTAGATATTCCGCCACCACCTTTGCACTTCCACTATTGATTGCCCACTTCGTAGCGAGATGCAATTTCCGCTCACTCTTGCATTGACAATCTTTTTTGAGCCGTTTTATGAAGTTTTACCTAATTCTTAACCTGTTAAAAAAATTACATAAGATTACATGAATTTGGCTGAAGCTGGTAAAGTCTACAACCAAATAAAGACAGCGAGTTTATTTTCAACCACGCTCTATATGCTTTTATTTTTTATTCCCAAATTTTAAGTAAATTTATTCTATACCTAAAAAATGTTTGCCTTTATTTGATACTGAGAGTAAAATCGGTGACTTACAAATATTGACATATACGAGAAATAGCGGATAGCGAAACTGGCTCGACCGATTCTGATGATTTTTTTTTCGTTTTATTATTTTTGTCGTTAGTAGGACGACTCTGCTGACTTGTTCCCCTTTGTTGTTTCTTACGACACCCACGAGATGATATGGGTAGTACACTGAAAAAAATCAATAGCAGCTAATCATAATTATTAATTATTTCTAGCTGTGCCCGCGACTTCCTTCGCATAGAATGTTTGTCAGTAATTTATTTGCTTAAATTTTTTATTTTGCACCAAATTGATTTTATTTTACTACACTACTGTTTTAAGTCAATAGTAATAGTATAGATAGTTGTATACTTACATTTAAGGTTACGTCAGGGCCAGATATATAACATTCAGACCGGCTACGGGCAGCAACGTAAAAGGTGCGAGACGTCCTGTCTTATAATTGTCTATCTGCCAGCCAACCGTGACAATTATCTCGTGCAGTTGATTTTTACGGGCTGATGATGAAGAAGTAGAAGCATATATTATTCATTTGACAATTTTAGGTCCTAAAATAATGAATGAAATCTTCAGTCTCCAACCCCACTCCAAACTTTAAATGCATTCATGCAAGTAGCATTGTTAATCACTGCAAAGTCGTAGGTGAATATTATGGATTATGCGTACATTATTAATAAAATATGCAGACCTTGTCTATTAAAAGGTTTTAAATATTTATTAAGCAAAAAATTATTAGAAAGGGTTATTATAATACTAAAGATTACATGATTGATAATAACCCCTGGGAATGAGGTGATCGCTACCATGCTGTTTCTAAATGTTTTCATAACAATTGTATAAAATATTATGTTGTAAATTATGCTTTTAAAAATAAGTCCCACTGAACTTCTAGCTGGTTCTTCCCAGGACAGAGGTTTTTTCAAACCGGTGGTTAAAGTAAAAAATGACTTTCAATAATAATTACATATATAATCTAATTTGAATAAAAATAATTCTTTACACTCTGTTCTATTTTATTAAATACTAGCTGTTCCCCGTGACTTCGCCCGCGTGTAATTTAGGTTTTCAATTGTTTTGCGCGAAACCCTAATTCTATTTCTATAACAAAATTAGTCTAAGTTACTCCTTATAACATCAGCTGTCTACCAGTGAAAGTCCCATCAATATCCGTCCATCCGTTTCGGAGATTAGCGGGATTAAACAGACACACAGACAGACGAACAAACAGACAGAGAGATAGACGGACAGATAGACAGATAGACAAAAATTTTAAAAATTGTGTTTTTGTTATAAGTACCATATATACTTTCATATGCATTTAGTGAAAAGCTGTTATTTTAACGTTACAAACAGACACTCCAATTTTATTTATTTGTATAGATATAGATTAATTACGAAAGTGCCGTGGGTGCTCAAAAAATAAGTGCCCGCAGATTACGCTAAAAACCTAAGTTCAATCTTCGTCTAAACTAACGGAAAATCACTTTAAATATTTGATCTACCACGTACTCGGTGGTAAAAAAAAAACATTGTAAGCAAAACTAAATTTTAAAAATTGAAACTAAACAAATTAGTTCATTAACGCGCTATTGGGCGACGCGATGAGTTTTCCCGTCTGTTCTTCCCAGTGCTTAAAAAAACAATCCCAGAAATATGAAGATGCCTGTGCCCAATAGTGTGATGTATAAAGGCTGTTAGTCTTAATTGAAGTAGAACATCTTACTTTATTTCTTGAAAATAGATAGGGCTATTTAAAAAAAGTACTAACTTAAATATTTGATTTGATACTACTACTACTGATACTTGCTCTACATCACAACTTTTTAAGGTAATATTACACTAGTGTGTAATTGTTGGATCTCGACAACAGCGTCACCTATCGAGTCCAATTGTGAACGTATACTATCCCGCAACCCACTCAAACACACACAAATAATTTCATCAAAATAGGTAGAGCCGTTTTCGAGATTTTGCAAGACTAACTGACAGCAATTGATTTATATATTAGAGAGATTTATGGTAGAACAAATTAAAAAAAACCCACTAGATGGAGTGACGACCTGGTAAGGCTTGCAGGAAGTCGATGCATGCAGGTAGCTCTGGACCGTGCTTTGTGGCATTTCTTGGAGGAGGCCTATGTTCAGCAGTGGACTTTTGAAGGGCTGTAATTATGATGATGATGAAATAAAAAAAATAATTTCTAGATTATATAGATAGACTAGCTGGTCCCCAGCATATAGCCGCCGCAGAAGAAATAATTATGGAAATATTGTTTTAAATTTGGAAAACTTATAATGCTTAATTAGAAACGATAATACATTCATTAAAGTTGAGTGTATATCATTTACCTTCAAATAAAAACAAATCGGTACAATATCTGCGAGACCTACCGTAAGTTAATTGTACTATGTCTATAACTTTAACGCATGTGCCAGCAATAAGTTGACAAAGTTTTGCCGCAATCTGATAAACAGTATGGCAGCACATAAAATATGAACAAACAAACATTAATTTTTATATTTTATGTGCATTAATTTACATCGAAATGCATAGCAATACCTAGACAAAATAATATTTTCGAAATGCCAAATACAATTTATGTCTGATTAAATCTGTAAGGTTTATTTGCAGACATGACTTAATTCCTTTCGCTCAGACCTACTAATCCTGCTAATACAATTAGTCTAAATTTTGAACTTCTCTTTTTCAGGTTTTCCAGAAAATGTGTAAGTGGGATTATTGTAGGCATAATAAGGGTAGCAGGTAACTTTATCTATCACATAACAGATACGTTTGGAATACCTTAGAAATTAATACTGCTTTTGAATGAAAAAGTCTTTACCCATTTAATGCTTATTAAAAACAGCATGTAAAAAAGTAAAAAATAATAAATTCTAAAAAGATGTAATATAATATTATTTTTTCCTCCGGAAGTTAAAACCAACAGATAAAAGTGTTACATTTTCTAGGTAAAAATATTTTTTCTCTAAAGCAAGGCTATGAAATTAGAGGAATTTCAGCATCATCATAATTACAGTCCTTCACAAGTCCACTGCTGATCACAGGCCTCCTCCAAGAAATGCTACAATGCTCGGTCCTGGGCCACATGCATTCATCGACATCCTGCATGTCTTACCAGGTTGTCACTCCATCTAGTGGAGGGTCACCCTACACTTCGCCTACCGATGCGAAGCTGCCACTCGAGAACATTTTCTACCGACTTCAAAAAGGATAAACTTTTGTCTACTTTTATTCACTTGCGCAACTTTTGTAAAATAAATTTGGATAAACTAAAGAGTGATGCTTCTACTTTAAATTTCGATTAATTAAAATTTTCAACGACTGTTGTTGATATGCTATCATTATAATAATGAAATAATTAGTCTATATAATACCCATGCTTTAGTACGTAAAATTAGACTTAAACATCTACGTTTATAATAAGACAAAGATACCTAAGTTTTAAAAGAGAGCGTATGGAAGAGAATTCGACATGTTTTAAGAAAGATAGGAACAGATGGTACGTAACGCCAAACGTTGTTAAATCAAAAATAATATACTTAATTTTTCATCAGCTGACGTCTGGAAGTTTCTTAGGTCTATTCACGTGAGTGAGATGGAGTTTACGCAGACGTGCGCCTCTTCCTTGTCTTGTACATACATACATAAACACATCATGCCTGTCACCCAGAAGGGTAGGCAGAGACTATGAACTTCCCTTTGGCATGATCCTGACACACCTCTCTCGCTTCCTCCACATCCATGTACCTTCGCATACACGCCCGTCGATTAAAGGTACTCTTGATTTGGTCCATTTTCAATATATCGCCAATTTGGTCGATAAACTTTTGCCTAGGGCGTCCCTTCCCGACTGTGCCGTTCACCTCTGCAACATAAATTTGCTTTGTCACTCTTTCCTCATTCATTCTTTTTACATGACTAAACCACCGAAGCATTATTTTCTTAATCCTGGTCACAACATCGTCTTGCAAACCACACTCTTCTCTTATCACACAATTTCTCACTCTGTCATTCAGATTCATTCCAAACATACTCCTTAATGATCGCATTTCTACAGCATTTATTCTACTCTCGTACTTCTTCTGCCACACCCAACTTTCACTACCATACATTGAAGTACGGACTAATACAGTATTGTGAATTGCCATACTTGCCTTTTTGGACACATTCTGACTTCTTACAATAGGGTGTAGAGCCCCATTCACTCTATTTTTTGCGTTCACTCGTCGTTCTATATCCTGATCATATCTACCATCCCTGCTAAATACAAATCCCAAATACACAAACTCTTAACTTACTCTAAACTTACTTGCTCGACCAACTCCCCTTCTATTCTTATTTCACATATCGTTTTACTTTCTTCTCTTTCAAAAACCATAACTTCCGTTTTACTTGCGTTCACTTTCATTCCCTTTTCTATTAATGTTCATTAATGTAACCATCATCTGCAACTCGGTTGCCGACGACGCAAATATGACTTGATCATCGGCGTCCAAAAGGCACTGTCCAAAAATACGT